GCGCTCATGCCAGATGTCCTTCTTTCGATTTTCTTGTCAATGCACTTTATCCTTTGAACGTGTTTCTTCTTTGATTGGCTGATCATTCACATTGGAGCGGCGGCATTTATTCAAGGCGGCGTACGTTTGCACAGTGTGCTGTATCCCGCGCAGTTGTTTTTACAAGCTCAACCTCGGCCTGCTTACTCCAAAACCAGTGAGAGGGTTCCCAACTGCCTCAACTCGGCTACCTATGTCTACTATTTAATGTTTACATCAAGCACGGCTCAGGCTCAGCATACAACATATACAGCCGCACTGATATGCATATAGATAGACAGATAGAAAGATATCGATACAAAGATAGAGATATTGTTAGACATATACACACCACCGTCGCCACCACCGCCACCGCCACCACCACCACCGCCACCACCAGCACCAGCACCACCACCAGCACCAGCACCAGCATCAGCATCAGCACCAGCGCCGCCGCCGCCGCCGCCACTACCACCACCACCACCACCACCATCAATGCTGCTGCCAACACGCAGCACCACACAGCAACGCACAGGCACACACGCACATATGCACTGCACTAAGCAGACTCACACGTGGGCGGTGATATGGCAAAAAGGCAAAGCCGATGGTACCAAGACCTCACTCAAGCATTGAAAGTCAATAACAGTGAGAGAAGCACCCATGTTTGTCGTGGTAGTCCATCTCCAACAACAGTTCGGAATGCGCCAGGGAGAGGGCGGCCCAGATCCGGAAGAGCTTCCAGCGGCCCAAGTTCTGGGTCATGGGCTTTGGGTGGTGTTTGGCGGCCTGCGCCGGCGCGGCCAACGTCATTGCCTTCAAGAGCTGGAACTTGCAACGTGGGTTGCAACATGTGGGTATGTGTCAAGTGGGGATTTGGACCCCCCAACGTGGTTGACAAGACAGATACGCCTATGTGTTGAAGCAAACCCACGTCCAAGAGGTTTTGGGCCGCCTTTCTGTTTGGTTCAGCAAGTTTGGAACGATAGGGGGCGTGGGCATGACCACGCAACGCAAATCAAGGTACGCGTCCCACGTGACGGGCAGCACGTCCGCCATGGCCTTCCGCTTGGAGGGCTACCATCAGGGGGATCTTCGGTTCGGAGAGTTTCCGCGAGGCCTTCTTCCTAGTCTTCTCGTTTCTGGTGGGCGCCTATACGTGCGGCCTTCTCATTGACAAGAACCAGGTGCCGTGAGTGGGTTGGTGGCAGCCGAGTTGGTTTCAGGCTTTGAGTTGCACTGGGGACCGGCAGTCTGTTGCAGCGTGTTTGTACCGCGGAGAGTTGGGGTGGGCGGTTTGCAAACACAGCTTCGGTCATGGCCTTTTTGGGCCTGCAATGACAGGAGGGGGCCCTGGCCAGGTGCACTTTGGAGGCAAGTCCTTCTACGGCCTGGCCCTTCTTATGAACTCGTCCCTCCTTATCCTTGCCGCGTTTATCCCTGGTCGCCTTGTCCCTGCGTGCTTCGTTGCTGGCGCATGTGGCTTGCAGAACGCCATGTGCACCTCCCACTTCGGCGCCATCGTCCGAACCACGCATGTGACTGGCACGGTGACTGTCCCTTGCCAGCATTCGGCACCCACTGGCATCCACTCAAAATTCTGTACCAACCGGCCAGTTGAATGATCATTTGGCCGACTTGCCGAGGACATCGGGTCCACGTTCGGCCGCATCAGCATGATCTACCTCCGCAAGGGCTGCCGACGCTCCCGGTTGGACGACATTGAGCGTGCCGAGGTGGGTGTAGACGCGCGGAAGCTTGCAGTGCTCTTCGGCCCCTGGAGCTTCTATTTCATGGGCGGCCGCTCGTCCGTTTTTATTCTGAGGAAGGCGCTGGCATTAGGATTGTGGCTTGGGATCCCAAAGAAGTCAGGTGTTGCCTGAGACACTACCCGTTTGAGTTTCTTTTCCTCTCATTTGCACAAGAACCGGGTGACTGAACTTGTCACCGGACTTTTGCAAGACTGGCCTTTCGGGCTTGCTTCATCCGAGGGCTGATCGGCATCTACATGGAGAACCTCATCCCCGGGCCTCGCGCCCTGCTGGTGCCCGCCTTTTTCACTGGCAGCCTGGGGCTCTTCTACATGGCCTTCCGCAACCTTCTCAAGGCAATTGCCGATTCGATCCGATCCGATGGCTGGAGCATTCCTGCCAGGATGCGAGTAAGAGTCCATTCTGTTGACATGCTTTAGCCGGGATTGATGCGTTTTTTGATTGGTATCCACGTGTTGCTTCTTTGCCAGTTCGTGGCGTTCAATGAGTGGTGCCTGACGCACTTGCTGCGGTGATTGTCTCCGTCCTTGATGCAAAGACACAGCTTCTATGCGCAAACCGGAAACAACTCCACACAAATACAGAGTGATGCTAGCTGCTAGGTCCGCTAGGTGTTTCCGCACGGCACAGATGGCACAGCTGGCACAGGAACACTTCAAGAAGCTGGAGCAGGAGCGGTTCGAGGCAGACCTGAAGCAAGCTCAGGAGGCTATTGCGCACATGGGCACGCGCCTGCATACCCTGGAAAGTGGCAACCACGATGGACTGGTGGTCGAGTTGGACGAGGATTTTCTTTGTGCGCCGTTTGCCTTGGGGAGGGTTGACAACCAGGCCTGAGGGTACCCCTGTTGGAGTGGTTTTGAAGAGACACCAAAAAGACATGAACCATTTGTTTGGTCCTTTATTTCCGGCACTCCCATATGATCAGCGTTCTACATGCCCTGCAGTTGAAAGTAGCATTCGAGAGGAAATATGGATTTGAACATAATTGCTTTTCCCGAGGTCGCGGAAGGCTGCGGAAGGGTTCGCGGAACACTTGCCCAGTCGCGAAAGGTTCGCGTAGCCCCCTTGGATGCCTTCTACGATGTTGTTGCGTTTCCGTCCATTGCCGTAACAAAGGCTCAGGCGCAGGGTGTGGCATGTTGTTTTCAGAGACGTTTGAAGCAGAATTCTCTGCAGGAGATGGGACAAATGATCGAGGCCCTGCATGAGGTGGAGGCGGATTTCGACAACCTCTGCCGGCAGCACAGCAAGGACTGGGCTCTCCAAAAGTCCGTTCTAGTTTCAATCAGTGCTTCCAGCTACAATCCAGATGTAAGACCAGTTTGTAATCAATCGAAACAATGATGTAAAACCTAGAGGTAAGTAACCCTGATTATTTACTGGAAGCACTGGGTAAGGTGGACGAAATATGAGACGGAACCAGAACATGTTTTCCGTGCAGCGCCAAGAGGACTCTGTCAGAAGCCAGAGGCCGACTGTCTGAGCTATGCGCTGCAATGCCGAGGGGCTTGCACGCGCTGAATTGACTTTTCTGCCGGGCCCGAGGAAAACGGAGACCTGCGGAGAGAGTCTGAATTGACACGGCTTTTGACCACCTCAGGCCACCTAAGTGATCTTGCCGGTGTGACCGATGCGGGAACCTGATCTGGAAATCTGTTGCCAGGACCCTAGAGGAATACAGTGGCAGTTTCCAGGTCGACTTCTTCTCATTGTCACACCGCATGATTGTGGCTTGCAAGTTTTGGGCATGGCGGCCTGTGGCTGGAGACAGAAGTTGCCAACAGCGACGCATCTCTGGAGCACTCCCACCGGGGCCGAGCCGTCATCCGACCTTCGAATTGCATAGTACAGCGTGATTCACTGTGCGCCAATTGTGTGGGTGACTGCTCAAAAGTGTTTGCAGAGCCCGGTAGCTCAGGGAATGCAGCCAGGCCAACATGCACGGTTCGTGGCTCGACAAGAGCATCAAACCGAAACCCGCGTTGGTGCGGGCAAAAAGATGTACGGCAACGAGCACCCCTGAACTAGGGCACACTGCCCCCCGTTTGTTTAGGTGACGTTTCTGCCATCGAGTGCAGATCTATTTCAGAATCGGGTTTCGTGTGAAGCCAGGACCGACTACTCGTAGGTTGGGTCCGATACCTCGTGAATCTGGTGATATGGTTTGAGCCTGGAGCATGTGTTGCGGCTGTGGGGTTTCTACGGTTTCTACGCTTGCGAGCCTCTTGCCTGGTGTCGGGAGTCGGTCTTAAGACTTGGCACCTGCCGTTACCCTCGGCAGGCAGCATTTATTGGACTGCACGATGGAGGGGGAATCCGAAGGAAACCGGCAGGAAACGGGTTTCCAGTTTCAGGCATTTGCTTTTCTTCAGCTATGTAACATATGTCTATATATGATAGAATACAAATCCCTGTTAATGAGTGACTACTTGTATGTCCCCGAGTATACCCCTGACTAATGCTTTGGGTCATTTCTGCTGACTGGATATTCGCTGAAGGTGAGCCACGATCAACACGTGCCAGAGCAAGAGTGTCCCTTTGCCAGGCACAATAAGTAGCAAGAAGCGCTCTTGATTCTTTGCAATCGGGGTTGCATATTTAGAGCCCTTGAATACCTGCATATTGTTGCAACTTCCACCTGAGCTTGGAGCCTATTAGTTCTTGTCTCAAAATCTGCACAATAATTCTCACCAAGTTTCCGGCCGCACGCTTATCGGGCGCGCCCGACCGCAGACTTCAGGACTTGATGGTAACAAGCCTCCCAAGGCACGTGATCTAAGTTGAAAAGATTAGTGTGCGACAAAATGGGCGTGTCCTTTTTGGAGGGTACTCCATGTTTGGGGTTTCAAGGGAAACCAAACTGAACGCCACTATTTTTTTGGAGGGGGCCCTGAAAAAGGACACACCCAAATGAGTTGGACATACAACTAATAGTGCAAGCGCTTGCGAGTTTCCAAATTCCAGTTTGTGAGCAACCTGGATTCTCCTTTGGAGCTTGTTTTCCGCCTTTTCAGTGACAACTGTATATTGGTGCTTGCGATACTTCTGTCAGCAGGTGTGTCTCAGCTCCAAACAAACTTATAATATGCTGCCAAGCAGCTGGTTTTTGAAACAAGTCATTTGGATGCGGATATGCATGGGATGTATCAAAGTAGAAGGAAGCCCCGCTCTGATTTTGACAGCCACCCGAATGGGTGGTCCGTGGAGGTGGAGCTGCCCGCAATGGACTTGGTTGCCAGGCCTGGGTGCAGTCGGTCCGCTTCTTTTTGGATTGATGACCATGATTAGCTGTTAGTTGTTAGCTGTTGGTTGCTTTTCCATGTTGGCGGTCAGTTGTGTTTCCTTTTCGCTTTTGGCGTTTCCCATTGGTTTGCTTGGTTGTTTCCCATTTCCCCCTCGCCGGAGTCCTTTCGGAAAGGGGTCCCTTGATCTTCAACCCAGGCCACGAGGCATCTTTTGCCGCGGAAGCAGCCTTCCAATGGAAGTGGCCAGTAGGGTTTCTGATGGCCCTCATCTCCGCTAGCCCCTTCCTGGTTGCTCAAAGTCAGCAAAAAACAGTTCTTATGCCTGGTGGCGGTTTCCCTTGTGCCAGGGATCACGGAGGGATACGGAGGGCTTTGGGCTCCGCACAAATTTTGAAGACCCTCGGCTTTTGGCTTGGCCAGTTTTCGGGCCCCGTTTTCGTGCCTCGATCGCCAGGATGTTCAAGTCCCAGGGCCCGGGGCCCCTGCGCTGGCACGTGCACCTGGAATCCCTCAAGAAACCACTCGAAAGCCGAGCGCAACTGTCAGGCGGGGGTTCTCTAGACTGTGTCGTTTCCTGGGCGCGTTTTGACACTTTGCGAGACTGCGCTCTGAGCAAAGGGCCCCTCTTTGCCGGGTTCAGCCTCAGCTTTTGGGCGACGCATTGAGTTTTTGGAAGGGAAGGGGGAAAAAGATGTTCAAGAATCAGTGCTTCCAGCCACCATAGCCAGCACTTTGTTCCTCTAGGTTTTACATGGTGATCTCCCCTGTTCTTTTCTTTCTCGTGGAAGTACTCGGGGAAGTATCAGGGTCCTGGAACCGTTTCGTCCGGTGTCTGTTCGGGAGAATTCTGCAGTTTCTGGCGTCTATTCGGCTCTTTGCGGGGCAGATCTTGAGCGACGGCCGTTTTCCCATGGTCCACTGGTCGGCGAGCTCCCATGAAATTCGCATCGCTGACCCGGCGAGCTCCCAAGAAATGTCTCGGGGCCGGTCAGCTTTTCTAATCCATTTGGATCCTAGGACTTGAGGAACTTCACCCGGGAATCGATCCAGAACCACACCGTTGCCTCAAATCGGGTGCTCCACAAATCGGGGCATCTCACTTCCCGAGTCCCTGGACTTTAGACTTTTTGGGAAGACCATGTGGGAAATAAAAAGTCCCAGGCTCAGGACTTGTTGTGGCCAATCTCGATCGGACGTGAGTATGGAGCTCACGAACGTTTGAAGTATCCAAACTCGGCGCCTTGAGGCGTGGGCTGGTTCTCCTCCGTGAAGTTCCAGTTGCCCGTTGGCTCCCGCGAGGCCGCAAGAAACTCGTCCGAAGTCGACCGAAGTTCCAAATCCTCGGTGCAAATTTGGGGACCGCTGGGAGACTTACACAGGAAACACTCACTGCCTAAGGTCCATTTCGGACTTTGGTCACTTTTTGGGTTTGGACAATTTTGGTGGATAAGAGGTTTGGACTTCTGACTCGATGTTCGTTGCCAAGTCAAGTGGTTAGCCACTCACTTGAGGTATTGTATAACCCCCTAAGGCCTACTGAGGGGCAAAAATGAATGGCATTGGCAAACATGAAGGACGTACGGTGGATGCTGCCCCACATAAATCAAGTAAACCCACCACAAACCATTATTTGTGATTTACAGAGTTTCCCTTGTTTCCTATACTTGCAACATTTAGGGCATCTACCATAGTGCAATCCACCTGAATCCCGTCTCTCTTCCATAGCTGACATAGCAACCTGAAGCTCAAGTCCAAAGAAGGGGATTTCCCCCTTTTTCTACGGTTTGGGCCTTCATAAAACAGATTCCCTTCTCAAAACACATCTCACACATGTTTCCCCCAGCGACCATTTGGGTCGCTTTTCTTTCGAGCCGCCCAAACGCATTGCGGCCTGCACCTCGTTGGGAGGTCACGGTGCAGGCGCAGATGGTGATGAACGTAGCGGGGTCCAAGCACTGGGAGGATGGCGAAGGCCGGCCTCCCGGCCTTTGGCTCGAGTGGCCGATCCAGTGCACCGAAGGATTTGGGCCCCACATGGGGTCGCCTTGGTTTTTCCTGGTAAAACCCACTGCAGAAATGGGTACCTTGACACAAAAGACAGGCGTGTAATATGAGGAACACCTGCCAAGCTGAGGAGGGTTGCCAATGAGACAAACTCAAAGCTTGGCAAAGTTCCTTGTGTTGGTCATTGATCTTTCGCGAGTTGTTTGTTGAAGGTGAGCGATCCTCAATTCCTGGTAAGCATTTTCTTCAGTGGCGCTGAACCCCCAAACAGAAGAACTTGATTTTAGGGAGTGCCATTTAGCCAATTTCGGTTCCTTATGGGGGCCCAGCTTTCAGCTTACCCTCAACTGGTGGTCCGGATTGGTAGGAACCCTGACTTACAACTGGGGTCCCTTCAATTTTCCGTCGTCTACAGCCCGGAGCGGCTGTTTGTTTTCACCCATGGACCTCCGACTGAGGCCAAACAATTCAATCAACCCTGACCTTTGTTTGATATAAGCTTGTAAGTCAGTATGATTGCGCTTTCTATCTCACTGTCTCCATACCTCCGAAACCCATATACCTGCAAATCGGCCTTGAACTCTCCAGCCAATTTGCCGATGCGCTTGCCCGCCAGTTTTCTGTGGTTCAAGTCGTTTCCGGTAGACTGCCAGTGTAGAGGTCAGCGAGTTGGATCGAATCGAAGCTGCGGCTTCTTGGATGATACCTTTGCCGCCCGAGATGACAGATTTGGACCAGGCCTGCGCAGAGAGTGGGGACGAGTCATGGGAACCCAGGTCCTTGTTTCTTTTTTGGGAGGGTTTTTCTTGAGCAGCTGCCCTGCAAACGAGGGTCTTCGTTGTTTGCTTTTTTTGTTTTTAACCATGGGGAAACCTACACATTGGTTTGGTTGTGCATTTTGTCGACATTCTGCCAGCCCTGTTTTCATCGCGTGCCTCAGGCGCAGATGTGGCAGCAGCCTCAAGAACAGTACATTTTCTTAGCGCCTTGGCAACCTCGTTAGCTCACTGCTCAAGTTGTTGGATTCGAAGCCCTTTCTCTACTGCCTTATTGGCAACATGTATGGTTCAGTTGCAAAGCAGCAAACGTGCGGAACCCTGGCTGAAAGTAATCCCCTTGGGTACAACGGGAAAGACCCATCGTCTTCTGCAGAATGAATTATCGAATACACCGGAAGACATGGCAAACACCATTGCAACTCCCCAACAAGCATGTAAACAATCAATCAATCCATCAACCACCCACCACCCAATCAATCAATCAATCAATCAATCAATCAATCAATCAATGAATCAATGAATCAATGAATCAATGAATCAATGAATCAATGAATCAATGAATCAATCAATCAATCAATGAATGAATCAATGAATCAATGAATCAATGAATCAATGAATCAATGAATCAATGAATCAATGAATCAATGAATCAATGAATCAATGAATCCATGAATCCATGAATCCATGAATGCATGAATCCATGAATCCATGAATCCATGAATCCATGAATCCATGAATTTATGAATCCATGAATCCATGAATCCATGAATCCATGAATCCATGAATCCATGAATCCATGAATCCATGAATCCATGAATCAATGAATCAATGAATCAATGAATCAATCAATCAATCAATCAATCAATCAATCAATCAATCAATCAATCAATGAATCAATGAATCAATGAATCCATGAATCCATGAATCCATGAATCCATGAATCCATGAATCCATGAATCCATGAATCCATTAATCCATGAATCAATGAATCAATGAATCAATGAATCAATGAATCAATGAATCAATGATTGAATGAATGAATGAATGAATGAATGAATGAATGAATGAATGAATGAATGAATCAATCAATCAATCAATCAATCAATCAATCAATCAATCAATCAATCAATCAGCCGGTCAGTTAGTCAGTCAGTCAATCAGTCAGTCTGTCTGTCAGTCAGTCTGTCTGTCAGTCTGTCAGTCTGTCAGTCTGTCAGTCTGTCAGTCTGTCAGTCTGTCAGTCTGTCAGTCTGTCAGTCTGTCAGTCTGTCAATCTGTCAATCTGCCAGTCTGCCAGTCTGTCAGTCTGTCAGTCTGTCAATGAATCAATTAATGAATCAACCAGTCGATCAAGCACTCAATCAATCATTCAATCAAGCAATCGATCGATCGATCCATCAATCCATCAATCAATCAATCAATCAATCAATCGAGCAATCAGTCGATCAATCAGTCAATCAAACAGTAAGTCAAGCCAAGCCAAGCCAAGCCCACAGTAAGCTAGCAAGTAAGCATGGGTTTCTTGCCTATGAAACGAGACACCGAAAATGTTCGACGCTCGTTGGTCTAAGGTTCCGGCTGATCCCCAGCAGCAGTGCATGGATCCGATGCAAGGCCAATGCCAGCCCATGAGGCCAGCTCCAAGGGGCGGGAATTCGAGGGGGGCGGGGGGGCATTCCCTTCAAAACAGGCACTTAATTGTCCTCTCTTCCACGTTGCCGTGGCACCTCTGACAAAAACCCGGCTCCAAGAGGAAACTGATCTTCCAGCCTCAGGTGCCATGTTAGTGCCAGAAAGGGTAATACCGTGGATCAAACTCCGCCAGTCAGGCGGTTTATCGCAATACTGTGGATGGACAAAAGCCTGCACCGCTTTGAAATGATGGGACACCACAACAAAATTATCCTTCCGGGGTTTCTTAGATGGTGCAGGGTTTCGTCCATCCACGTTTCCCATGAGAAACCGGGGCCGGTGTTTTATTTTCAGGGGAGCAGGGAAAGCACCCTTTTTGGCATGATAAAAAAAGACACCGAAAAGGGCCTTTGCCAAACGGCAAACCACCCGTTTTTCGGGGGCTACCACATTTTGAGAGCCAAGAAAGGTGCGCGTTTTCCCTGGCCCGAGGTATCGTTGCATTCGGATCCAAACTTTCAATTGGGGAACCCCCGAAGTAAGGCGGCCTCTTCTGGGATTAGTGTGGCATCTGCAATATCTCGGGGCAGGTCCAAGAAGCAACACTGTTCGCAACCCCCGGGGTCAAGAGGGCCCGGAAAAGGGAAAGCGCCCTGTTAGATGATCACAACAGCGCCCTCACAACATGAATTTTGCAGGAAACCATCTCGAGCGCTTCTGGAAGGTTTACTGATGCATCTCAACTCTATGTTTACCTGAAAATGACCACGTGGTGTGACCTGCAACCCTTTACGAACACGTGTATTTCAAGTCACTAGCAAAATACTTGCCCTTTGGTTGTCTTTCAGACCAAAGGGGAGCAGTCCCAAGTCACACCACATGTTTTTTTGTTTTTGTTTTTTTCAGGAAAGTCTTAGCCTTAGTTGGTAGTTTGGATTGCTGATTTCGGTTCGGACTCCCTGGTTCTTGTTGAGGGTACGTAGGGTTTCGAAACCACCGCGCAACTCACCTCCAAAGCACCGGGATCCAATTCACCAGTCACTCAGTTGAGGGTAAGCCGATTCCCTAAACGGTTTGGAGGCTGTTGTGGATTCCACGCGTTGGTTCAGCACCGACAGGACGGGGATGCATTCAGCGTGGTGACTAAGGAGACATAAGTCGGAGAATCTATCCTTGTTCCTACCTTGGTGGAAGCTGAAAAGAGGGTGTTGGAAGACTACCATTGTGGGAAGCAAGGAACGCTTTATGCAGGGTCGAATTAGCTTCAACTTGGAAATGCGGGACCTAGAATGGATCGATCGTTTCCCATTGAACAAAGGTTTGCCCCATTATTTTTGGCAACCAACGCGATCCCCCTGGGCTGTTGTACTTGGATGTTCGGCCAAGTTAGTGTTTGTGCTTAGCTTGGGGTAAAACTGTATAAGCCTTAACAAGGTTAATCTCACATTCACGGGGGACTTGTAAGTGGCCTACAACCCAGGTTTAAAAAATAAGAAAAAGAAAAGAAGCAGTTTCATACAGGTCACACACTTAACGCAAATGACCGAAAATCATGGCCGTAGGGGCAAAGACGGCCAAATACGGGAGTTTGACATAAAAGGTGCCAGGTAGTTAAAGTTACAACCAACTAGCTTGGCCGGACGAAGACCCAAGTAGAAGGAATGGGCGAAGCGCTCATGAGTGTGAGGTACATGTGGTGGCCGCAGACCGAGCAGCAGTTTATGTATCAAGCGCCAGTGATGCAAGGAGCGCGGCTAAATGGGTCTGTCTTTCTTTCGGGGGGGTGGGGGGAATGGGTGAGTTCACGTAGAAATGGGTTGTTTCCTTTTGGCTTTCCTTCAAACAGCCCAAAACCGGTGTACCCTCAGAAATCGACATAACCAAATAGCAACCCTGCGTCGGATTTTCTCAGGAAAGGAGCGACTCCCCAATGGGAATGATTTCCATTTTGGGGGGCACCTCTCTGATTAGTACGGTCTGACTTGGTCCGAAGGAAGATGTGTGGGAACGCTTGTTGTCCAACACCTGCTTTTTGGGTCAGTTGAGGCTATAGCCTGGTATTTGGAGTAAGCGGGTATGCAAATGATGCTATGTATGAGTGCTAAGTCCCACAATACACCCTCGGTCCTTGATCAAGGTGCAGGTTTTCAAGTTCTTTCTGAGTAAACGAATCATATTTGCAGCCGGGATGGGAATGGTGTCAGGGAAGCCCAGTAAACTGAACCCATTTGATTCTGATTGGGGCGGGCAGGACGCAGGCGTTTCTGCGACACGGGCATGTTGTTTGCAATTCACAAAAAGCATATCTGGCATGTCTATTCCAACTTCTGCACGACTTTTGTAGGAGCACAATCAAGCTGTACATGGCATGTCAGCAGCCAGATGCACCAGGAGGATGAGGTTTCCTGACGTACGCCTTTCCCCGTAGAATCCTGGAAGCGAGGATGCTTCTGAGGCAGTCACTTCGTGTATACGAGAGCCCTTTCATGCATGCGATAGTTCGACTCAGAGTGAAGCTTGACACCCAACCGGCCACGCGAAACCGACAGGAACGGAT